TTATAATTTATTTTTAGCCTTCCTTTTTTGACTGAGCACCCCAACTATTCTTCTCTTTAATTATGTCCTTAATTGGAACATACTTTATTCAATAAAGAAGTGTTTCAGGAAAAAAAAAATATATTGACGTATCACTTAATATGTCGCTGCTACTTATTGTATTACTGTAATTTGTTTATGCTGTACCACATTAATATGCTTTTTATAGTATCTCTGTGTCTTTAGTTTCAATTAAGAAATTAATTTTACAACCAATGTATAACATCATTTTATATTGCTCTACAATAATGACTACTTAAACCATCAAATCAATCCGTCAAAAAAGGAATTGATTTTTTTTAGTTAAAATTATGTTTACTTAGTTGAAAAAAGATCATTTTAATTTAGATAGTGTTTTTAAATACAACTAAATGATTATTTCAAAACATATATTACTCCGAAGACAAACAAAAAAAAAACTAGGAAAATTTTAAAAAAAGTTTGCTAAAAATTATTTTTTTGTTTTTTAGATTAATAAATTATTTTTTATTTATTGTATATATATTATTTTTCTGTATGTTATTTTATTTATTGTACATGGAGTGTGAATGTGATCTCTGAAAGCTATTATATATGTCCTTTGAGACGACAGAATGTATTATTTCAATAAACAAGTTTAAAAAAAAATCATTAATTATTTATTTATCTAAGTAATAAATTACCAAATCAGAAAAAAATAAACTTTTAAAAACGAATTATAATGAAAAATCTCTAAATATGTCCAACTCACTGCTGCTCCATACATTCTCTTCTAAGTTCTCTCACAGATTTATTGAAAAGATTCTGAAAGATGAATTCATTTAAAACATATTCAGAAAAGATAAAACGGCATCCCTGAGCAGTTTATTCAATTACTTTTTGTTTTATTAAATCAATTTTCATTTTAGAAACATATTATCTAACTAAAAAGAAAAATATTACGTAGCTGATTTCTATTGAATCTTATGGAATTGAGTTAGGTATACATGAAAAGGCAATGACTTTTAGTAACTGGACTTTTAGTCCATATATCATGATGTTCCGGTAAAGTTATAGCGTTTTAAAATTTGCATACCTCATCTTCATTTCAAATTACTTCGCATTTGCAAATATATAAGTTATAACTTAACGGAAACATTTTATGAAGTTCAGTTCTAACATTTAAGGAATTGTATTTCTATGTATTATACTCAAATTTTGGGGGGAGGGATCTTAACAGAAAGGTGCAAAAAATTGTTTATTTCTCACTCTATCAATGAAGCTAGTACCCGTTATTATTAAAACTGGCATTAATTTTCGATGTTTGCCATAAATTTTACCGATATTATTTGAATTTTCTTGTTACTAGTTCTTCTGTTTCTAGTAACACCGAAGTATAAATAAACGTTTGATGCCATTTTGCATTCAAAATTCACTATCAATATTTTGACTTTTGTCCCACTGTGTCTCAGTAACTCGAAAAACTGGTGTTATTTTCCTGCTTCATCATTTCCAATGATGTGGAGCGTACAGTTTTTCTTAGTCTGCTGTCCAGAAACGTTTGCAGGTGACGCTGTGCTAAGTAAAATATGAAATCCGATTAATTGATCTTGTGCATCAGAATGAAATGTTTCTCCGAGACCAGATTGTAACCAACATGAATTTATACTGAACCGTGGAAACCACTCTACTCAAAGGAACTTGGAAGTTGTATTCCATTGTTGAAGAATCACCGTTTTAAGCAATAATAACCTGTCATCTACCTCCTTAAAATAAATTTTAAAAAGATCGCTAAAAACGTTCACTCCATTTTGAAAGCTAGCTAAACTTTATAATAAACTTAATTTGTTTGTTATTATCAGATTTGAAATGGTTTTCAGCAAAAATTTAATTATTATTCTCAATTGGGAGAGAAAATAGAGGACCTAAAACTTTGATTTTTATATTTATTTTATTTATCGAAAATTCACGTTGATAGGCCCAATAGAAAGTCTCTCGTATAACATTCATAACTACCATGTTAAATCATCGGATAAATAAAGGGTATCACATTGAGGAAGTTAATGACCTTGAATTTTATTTTTATCCAACTATGGCGAACCGACAAGTAGGATTATGTGTGTTGATTTGATTGCTTTTAAATAATTAATGATTTTTTTTTAATGAACAGGCAGAATCGTCACGACACCAGACTACAACACCACGCTTAAATATGCGTAGATGTAAATTTCCTTAACTATTTACCAAGTCATTTAAGTAGATATGCAAGTGGGACATGGTGATACTGCAATCTAATGACAATTTGATAAAATAAGTACGATTTCGCGTCCCGGAACCGAGGGGAGAGGGTATTTCAACTCGGGCATCAATCGCCCGCCCTCATCCTCTGGCCCATGAAAACTCTCGTATAGCCTAAAATGCTACGAAGGGTAGGACAAGAAAGAAAAGAAAGTAGATATAGAAGTTCATTCTCATAAGTCGTATCGGGTTGTTTCTATTGTATTTTTATTTTTACTTTCACTTACGTATATATGTAATATATAGTAAGTGTAAGTATTGCGATCGAGAAAATTTTTGGATCTAAGTTTTCGACGGATTTATGCGTTTTGAGGTACCCTGAGTCGAAATGAACAAGTCCCGAAAAATGGTCTGTGTGTTTGTATGTTAGCAGTCTAGCTCAAAAACGAAAAGTCCTATGAAACTGATATCACGTATTTAAGATAGGTATATGCCTTAGTTGTGACGGCAACTTTTTCCTTAAAATCGGCTAACCGGAAGTGCCACTTTATATCAACGCTGAAACACATTTTCACAGTTTTCTCAAAAACGGCTCCAACGATTTTTATTAAACTCGGTGTATCATTGTATAATTAAGTGGTCTTTAATATCAATTAGGTCTTATCCCCATTGATGTCACTTTACAGGACTTAAATGCCCAATGTTCATATACGTCTTCCTCTAAAGTACCTTTAATATGGTTTATTTTAAAAAGTTAATTATTTCGCATTATTTAGAGTTACGAAAAAATGCTAAATATAACTTTTGAAAGAATTTGATAAGTTAATAAAGGAGAAAAAAAAAATAAAAATGCAGAAAAACGTAGCTATAGACTGTAGCGCCTAAACGAAAGTACCGATTTCATTGAAACTTCGCTAAAATCGTTTTCTCGACACCCTTCAAATTTATCTATATAACATACCTCAGCGAAAAGAAGCTGGAAAAAAAGTTACGAGGGATGGTAAAATTAAATTCCGAAGAACTCAAAAAGTATACACTTTTTTGGGAATGTTGTGGTAAGATGTTTCAAAGGTATTTAAATTGCCTAAAAAACAAAAGAAGTTTCGTCGAAATCGAAGCACTATTAGTAGACTTTAAAATATTTTTACTTTCAATTACGTATATATGTAATATACAGTAAGTGTAAGTATTGCGATCGAGAAAATTTTTTTTTTTAAGTTCTTGAATTTGGCAGGTCAAGGTGCTTCTGCTCCTCCAGGATCAGGATGCTTTTGGAAAGCTCACCTTTGAAAACAAACTCAATAGCCTAATGATTAGGATTGTTTAAAGCATAACATGTTTGTACTACAATTAATAATTTATTTTTTAGTACCTAATTACAGAAAAAAGATTGGCAGTAGTGCATCATACAACATTCAGTATACAATTATATTTTATAAATAAAGAAATCTCAAGTCTATTACTTTATTCATAAATATGAACGAACAACAATTAATATAAAAATGAAAATTTTTTGTCGTGCCAATGAATACCTTTTTTAGACTCTGGCACCAGGGCTAACACAGAACACTTTTGTGTGAGTTGGTTATATTTGGATTCACAATAACTTAAAACTCTCTCGCCTCCTCCCTCTGTTCTGAATTAGGTTTTGAAATATTTCACGTTCGTAATACTTTTCATATCCCATACAACTCCTACTTTGTAGGCCTTAAATACTCTAATCTGTTAGATCAATGTTTAATACCAATTAAAGCATACACGAAGTTAAATTAGAATACCTAAAAGAACAAATGATTTTTTTTTTGTGGGTAAAAGCTAAAACTACTGTGAAAATATATTTTTAGGTTCACATCTAATGGGAAGAATATCGAGAGAGCGAGCATTGAAATCTTCCGGTTTCGTGGAATCAGCTGAAGTATAACCGCTAAATTCAAAAGCATTTGAATTATTCCTTCGACATTACAAATAAATAAAAACCGAAATGTTCATTTATCAATGGATAAGAATAAGAAATAAAATGTTATCTTAATTAAATAAAACATAACTAATTTTAAACCAATAGTTTCTCGTACAAACTCCATTCACTTGTACTTATTAGCATACCTGCCTAGAGTAAACGGCCTCCAAAGAACTTGTATTCGCAAGGACCTTTAAATTCAGGGAACTATAGTTTATTGTTTGTTTTTTTCAATTCAGCATTACTATGTTTTATTAACTATTATAATTAGTAAGTAATTTACGGAAGATATATCGGCAGTCATACTTCAAAAGCTAACAAATGTAAAAATTTCAACCATTTATTCGACGAAATAAAACGAAATTTCTTATTTCGTGAAATAGTTTGTTATGTTCAATTTTTACAGTATGCGTAAGAAAACTTGCACTGTTTTAAATAAAATTTTGGTTCGAATAGTTGGTTAAACATTCTTGAGGCCAAGATTGAACAGAAATAAACAAAACTTCACTTTCTAATAAAATTGTACTGACAGCCGAAACACTAGATCATTATTGGTAGTTTCCAAAGACAAAGTCCCGTGTCTCTCAAAATAAGATTAAATAACTAATAAATTTTCCTCCTATTCAAACAACATCAGGACAGAAAAAGATAACTTGAATGCCGAACAGAGGCAAAACATCGTACATTGCGTTACTACTACACAGTATAGTTCAACACATATTTATACGCACAATATTTTTTCTGTACATGCAAGAGTATAAATACATGACACTGGTAATAAGCAGGTAGATAATAAAGTATTTCTTACATTTAGATCTTTCTCCTCACTAAGAGCTTGAATGTCAAGTGCATTGGTGAGCCACTCTGTAATGGTTTATAAGTAAAACAAAGAAATAATAATAAACAAAACAGGCGGAACAAAATGAAGACGTGAAACAAAGACCAGCGGACGAAAACTAAACCCGACCCGTTGAGCAGACGCCAACCAACTGGCCTATTTACTTCTATCCCCTCCACTTCTCTTCTCTTGGCTGTCTTCGGCACTCCTGTCAGCCTCTTCGCTTCCAATACACACCGCGGTGTCGCGAATCCTTGCAACTAACTGTACATTTGCGGAATCTTACTCAATAATTAATATTTTCTTATCGAAACAAACTAATTTACATTCGGACAAGTAATGCAGACGAGATATATCTCGAATCATAACAAAAACGCAGATAAAATATCTATTCTTTTCCTCTGTAATTACCACAAACTTAAAGCCATTTCTAAGGACATAACACATCATATCAGAGTACCTAAGTTCTTAACTCCTTCCTCCTGTTCTACACCATCTTTAAACGACTCCGGTAGTAAACAATTCATCCCAACAATGTCGATGGCGAAAGAATATACCTCACCCCGTTCTCCTAACATATTTTATTGCTCACCTTTTTTTGAAAACAGAGCAGATTAGGTAGAATTAGACAATTCATAGATCATATACAATTAGTGTGGTATGTTTTCTTCCCTGTGTTCGGTACGGTTTCTTCTAAATTTTCTCCCTCTCCCTTAGTCAGATAAATCATAACCCCTTCACAATTTGACCCCTTCAAAAATTCGTATACAAGTCAACATATGGCAAGCTCAAAAATTTTGATGGCTCCACTTGTGCTATGAAACCTCCTTCTGGGGATCCCTGAGGATCAAGAACGTGGTCAATGTCTTATTCTACGTTCTTGGGTTTCTCTTGATTGAGTAGCTGCTTAAAATCTTCTTTCCATACTCTTAGTATCTTATAATGTCGTATTTTTCACATTCGTATTTGTCTAGCATTATATCATACTCTTCTTTTCACATCTCAGAATAGAACTATATCTCAGCCTGCTATATTTCCACCTATATGATCTGGCAGTTGTCTTAAATTTATTTATTTATAAATGTTTTGGGCTCTTCAACTACCTGGGTCATTTTTGTCCTAAATAGCTATTGGATCAACTACGACATAGGTATACATAACAAAACGACAGCTAACAAATACAATTTAAAGTTTAGAAAGTTAAAAATATTTACAGATAAATATGATATTAATGATACTAAGAAGAAAAGATAAAAACAAGTTTTTAAAAAATAAAAATTAATATTAATAGAGAAGAAGTTAAAGTGTACAGTTTAAATATTAAAAAGTACAAGAAGAAAAGTTTACAAAAACCATTGAAATTAAATATAAAAAAATATTTATTTTTTATTTAATTTTTTTTATTGATATTTACAACTGTATACATATACAATAAGTAAATCTGCTAAAATGATAAATAAAACATGATGAAAACTGTAAATAAACTACCCATTGGTAGCACTTCTTCTTTTAGAAGGTACCTTGGCCATCTTTTTTTCAGACGCCTCGGAAGCTTGTCAGGAATTTTTTTGGTTGAAAGGTTATGAACTAGAGAGTTAGGGTGACCAAGGAGTTTGGAATTAAAAGAGGAGTATCTTAGTTGGGCCAAGTCTTCAACAAAGGGAATGTTGAGGTCTTTATGAATAATTATATTTGTGACATAATAAGGAGCATTAAGGATTGTACGTAGGATTTTAGATTGTAAGGATTGGATACGGGAAGAATTTGATGTTTTTGTGGAGCCCCAAAGCTATATTCCATATGTCCAAATGGGCCTGATGATGGAAGTGTATATGAGTTTTTTGTAAAATATTGGAAGTTCAGAGGGTTTATCAAGTAAGTGATGTAGAAGTCAGAAGGCAGTTTCTTGTCTTTTCAATCTAATATGACGATTCCAAGTAAGACGTTTGTCAAGAAGGAATCTTTGGTAACGGATCTGCTCGACAGGGATAAGAGGAATATTGTGAAAGGATACTATAGGACAGGATGTATTAGGTTTACGACGGAAGATAAAAGTAATTTGTTGGGATTTGTTTGGATTAATTTTGATTTTCCAGTTATGACACCATTCTTCAATAGCTGGAATGTGTGACTGCAGTGTTTGAGATGGAACAATTGGTTCATTATTGGAAGATAACACACATGTGTCATCAGCATAGGTAGTAAGGACGGTAGGAGGATGGGTCGGAATATCAGCTGTATAAACTGTGTAAAGGATTGGACCTAAGATGCTTCCTTGAGGAACACCAGTGGTCTGGGAAAAGAGAGATGAGTAGGCAGAGTTATGATTTACTTTGAAGGTTCTGTCTCCGAGGAAGGAACGGACTAATAGGAAATATGTAGGAGGCAGGAATTGACGAAATTTGTATGGCAAACCTGAATGCCAAACTCGATCAAAGGCCTATTCCACATCGAGAAAATATCGTGCATTCGGAATGTGGAGGAAATTAAATCTACTACACGATGGCACTGTTGAATAGTGGAATGAGATGTTCGAAATCCTAACTAGTGGTCTAGAATCAAGTGATATGAGTCTAGGATTAGATAAAGGCGTTTTAATATCAGTTTTTCTAATATTTTTTCCATGATAGGCAGAAGAGAGATAGGATGATAGGAGGACTGGTATTCAGGTGGCTTTTTAGGTTTAAGAATCATTTTTATTATGGGATATTTGCAAGGATCAGGAAAATAGGGTTTATTATAAGCAATAACTATTTATCATTATTAGGAGTTACGTAAAAATGCTAAATATAACTTCTGGAAGAATTTGATAATTAAATAAAGGAGAAAAAAAAATACTTATCCAGGTGAAAAATTAATCTCCGGAAATACTGTTCAGAAGGTATACGTATAATATATCGTTCAGAAGCGGAAAATTTTAGGGAAAACAATATCTTATATAGAAAGTTGTAGAAGGTAACGGAAAGTGGCGAAAAAAAATATATATAATAACATGTTTTCATGGAAATTAAATGAAATTTTCTTACTGAATGTAAAGTTTTATTTTATTTTTTTAAGTTTTAAAAAGTATTTAAAACCCACAGATTCAAGGCAATGACATTGTTTAAGATACTCTTCATTGTAATTGTGTGAAAGAAGAAATGAAATATAAAAATATTTCATGGATACGTTTATAAGCTTAAATATATTTGTCCCCATTCCCTCATTCCTTCCACTCCAACTGATGCCATTCAATCAACTTCTGTAGTCCTTTCAACTCGCCCTTTCCATCTCACATTCTCAGCTGTATACTGTCCTCCTGGTAATTCCCTCTCCTTTAACCTCCTTGATTCCTTATTCCAATCCCTCGGATCGCGCTTCATTGCTGGAGGAGACTACAATGCTAAACACCAACGATGGGGTTGTCGAATATCCAACCCCCGCGGTAACATCCTATCGCGTGTTTCAACTTCCAACAATTATTCAATCCTTTCGCCCATGAGTCCTACTTATTGGCCAACATCCCTCAAAAAACGTCCCGATATCCTAGATATATTTATAACTTCCCAGATCTCCTCCTCCCAAACCATAATCAAATCCCTTGATGACCTTTCTTCAGACCATAGTCCAGTTCTACTTTCACTACATTCGAGCTATGCTCCTAAACCATCAACTCCTAAATTGATTACAGGACGAGTAAACTGGGACGAATTTCGTGATGATTTGGAAAACAAACTAGACTTAAAAATTCCGCTAAAGACAAAAGACGACATTAATGGTGCCATTGAAAAACTGACAGCATCAATAACAGACAGTATAAATAATAATACTTTTATCAATAAGTTTAACAATTCACAAAAGACTGACTTGCCACAGCATATTCGTATCTTATTGCAGGAAAAACGCAGAGCAAGATCGAAGTGGCATAGAACCAGATATCCAACAGATAAAACTCATTATACCCAACTGACTAACAAACTAAAATCTGAAATTAGAAAATACAAAATTCAAAATTTACTAAATTTTACTGAAAAACTTACACCGACAAATCACTATGGGCGACCACTAAAAGGCTCCTGAAATTTAAAGACTGTAATCATCCACTTCTTACTGAAGCTCAAACCTGGTCCAAATCCGATGAAGAAAAATCACAAATCTTTGCTCATCACCTCTTTATAACCTTTAATCCACACCCCGATATTCTTAACCCAAATCACCTTGAATGTATTCAAGCAGAACTGGATATCCCACTCCGAATGTCTCTTCCACCTAAAGCCTTTCATCCTTCAGAAATATCCGACATCATTCAAAGGTTACCTTCCCGAAAAGCTCCTGGACACGACCTAATTACATCCCGGATCCTAAAACTGCTTTCTCGGAAAGCCATTCTATTCCTTACTTATATATATAATGCTGTACTGCGATCCACATACCTTACTGACCCTTGGAAATTATCTATTATCAAAATGATACAAAAACCCAAAAAGCCACCAGAAAACCCATCCTCCTATCGCCCTATCTCCCTTTTACCCATCCTAGGCAAAAATCCTGGAAAAGATTATCCTAAAACGCCTGTACCCCATCCTAGATTCTAACCACATTATCCCAGATCATCAATTTGGATTCCGCAGATCGCATTCCACTATCCAGCAATGCCATCGTGTGGTGGATGTTGTCTCCTCTGCATTGGAGCGATGAATGTACTGCACAGGAGTCTTTCTCAATGTAGAACAGGCTTTTGATCGAGTCTGGCACCCAGGACTGCTTTACAAACTCCGTAAATTCCTACACCCTACATACTTCCTCCTTATCCGTTCCTATCTAACTGATAGATCCTTCAAAGTAAATCATAATAATGCCTATTCATCCCTTTTTTCCTAGTCCGCTGGTGTTCCTCAAGGTAGTATCCTAGGTCCTATCCTTTACACAGTTTATACAGCTGATATTCCAACCCATCCTAACACAGTGATTACCACGTATGCCGATGATACATGTGTCCTATCAGTTAATAACGACCCAACAATTGCATCCCAAACCCTTCAATCACACATCACAAACCTTGAAGAATGGTGTCAAAACTGGAGAATAAAAATATATTCCAATAAATCCCATCAAATCACCTTTACCCTTCGTCGTAAACCTATATCCTCTTGTCCTACAGTATCCTTTAATAATACCCCACTTATCC